CGCGGGCGTAAAAAGGTCCGGAAAAAAAAATTACTGCTAGGATGGCTCCACTAACATCTTCTATGACATTGAAGGCGGCTCCAAGCGGCGTCAAGATTGGCGCGATTCAACTGGATCTGGCGGAGGACAGCGCCCATCAAGGGCATCAGTCTGCCACACCACGCATTACGGTTATTGCTGGTTGGATGTTACACTCGTCGCTTCGACTCTCTCACATGCAGCTGCATCATCGAGGAAGTGTATGTAGTAGCACAAAAAGATCTGGTGGCATCATCTGCTGATTCAGTACACCTTTCCGAATGTTAATGTTTGTAGCGAGTCCATGCACCATTTTCATGAACCACAGGAACCAGCCCGTAACCAGATGCATGAACCATCGCCATGCGATTGCGCTGCCTGGGGAGTGCGCGTCCTCGGGCGCCGCCGCGGTTGAAAACGGAGGTTGCGGTGGACATCCCACAGGACAGACCACATACCGGTATAGGCTACTGATCATCATCGATATTGTTGATTTGTGCAAAAACAGCTTTCTCAAGAACCCCGTGCCAGGATTTGCTGCAAGGAACTGTCGGCGATTTCTGCCGATTGAACCGTGGCATTGACTTACATGCATGCCCTATGAGAAGCTTGTTTTTGAAGTAATGCCGGTGGTTTGGAAGCCGCGTTGTGTAGAAGAGCCGAGGTTGGCCGAGCGCAGTGGTTCACATCAGCCAGCAGTTTATGCGCCCCAAGCGAAAGCACGCTTACCTTCTTGCAATGTAGATGTGTCCAGATAGAGATGTGCATAGATAGGTTGATAGATATGCAAAAAGATAGTTTGTTAATGCCGCAAAAGAGAGAGAGGAAGAGAGAGGGCGAGAGAGGGAGAGAGAGGGAGAGAGAGGGAGAGAGAGGGAGAGAGAAAGAGAGAGAGATAAACAGACAGGCAGCTAGCTAGGCTAGCTAGCCAGTTCGCTAGCTCGGAAGGTGGGAAATTATGGTGGGTTGGTAGGTATGTCGCTAAAGTTGTTAGACGGTTTTACATTCATACATACACAGGAAGATCACAAGATGGGGTCAGCTACGGTTCTTGAAGCATGATCATGTTTGCAGCATGCGTTTGTTGGCTGTCCGTAGTCGCAGTAGTGCTGGAGTCATGGTCTGAATGGTCAAAGTCCCGGTTGCAACATTCATTCAGGTGCCACCTGGTTTTGCAGTGCCGCCGAACGAGCCCCTGAGCGACATGGCTCATGGTAGGATCGTGTTGTTTTGGCTGCCACTGGTTTTGGCTGCATTCCGAGGCATTCTCCGGCAAGACGATGAAGTTTGGGCTTTCTGGCTAGTTTCAAGTCATTTTCAGGATGCCATGGCTGTGGTGGCATACGTCTCAGGTGTACCCCGCCGAAGCTTTGAGCCTCCGGGCCCTCGCAGACACACCCAGCTCTTCGGCCAGAACATGCTCCGTCGTCGTGCCTGGGCTCATTTCCAGTTTTCGAATTCTGAGGTCCGCAAGGCTCCAAGCCCCGCCGTCGTGCCGCCCACCCTCCTGCAGGCCAAGTGCTGGCGTGTCGCACAAATAACGGCCGGTCGTAATTGAAAGTGAGTAATCTGCTGTGTTTGTGAAAGGCGACCAAGCTAGCGCTGTGAGTGTGCCGAAGCGGAAGGCACGACCATGAAACGCAAGAGAGGGTCGAACGTTTAGAGGTGTGGCTTGGATGACTCGGCGTCAACGTTACAAGTCCAAAAAGTAGAGCTGCACACAAGCTGGCCGATGCAAGTTTGCAGAGCACGTGGCCGATCTTTTTGGATGGAAATGGATGGATAGCATGTGCGACTGAGGCAAGCGCTCCGACACAAGGAGAACCTGTGGCAGGATGCGTGGGGCTTGATGGGTCAAGTCAGGCTGCTTCTGCTTTGGCACAGATGTCGCGGTCCGAAAGCTATGTGAAAATGGCCATTCGGTACTCCAACTGTCCTACTCCATGCAACTGGTAGATGCTGCAACATTTCCGCAGACTTCAAGTCCGAAATTCCGAGTCGGGTGAAGTCCAGCATCAGCATGACGAAAAGTACTGCCAGATTTCTTCGTTGCGGGGGCTATGTTGGGGCTTTCATTCGGTGCTCAGACCGAAGATGTCGCTCTCCCTTGACATTTCCCTGATGGCCTTTTGCACGTAGTTGTTCAGGAGGTCCTAGGTAGCTTCGACTGCCAGGAACACTCGGCGGAAGAGGTGCAAATGAAAATTGTATTACACCCCGGGAACGCAAATCCATTGCAGGACAAGTGGGCAAGGAAGCACTCGCCAACTGCACACCACACCTGATGTTGGGCCTCGCATGTCGCAAGTCCGTCGTTTGGAGGCCATGCTCCATCGGTTTTGGACCAAGTGCTCGCTATCACAGTCACCAATAAAACAATGATGGAGTGGGAGCTCGAGCAGCAGGAACCCTGCGTTGGGCAGCGCCTGCGTAGAGATAGCAGGTCGTCGAGCTCCCGGACATCATGCAGCTACACGAGACCAGGCATTCATGCGGAACACATTGTGAAACAGATGAAGGTTCAGAAGGTGTTAGTAGCAGGATGTACCAAACGCTTCATGGAAGGAGTTCGACGCGTGGTTACCCCTGCCAAGCCAGCGGGCGAGCCTGCGGCACCTGCGAAAGCCGCTGGAAACTCGGCCCCGGCGTCTGACAGAGCTTCGGCTTCAATGGCAAGCGGCACAAAGAAACGGTAGAGATCGTAAGCCGCAAATTCATAAGGAACCCAGACACCAGAAAGAAGATCCCTCAAATGAGTAACCTTCATGTAAACATGCATACAAGTACCTCAAGGACTGAAAAAAAGTATCTCGTATGCGGAAGCTTTAGAGCTTTAGCCGATTAGATTATTTGATTCCAACAGATAATGAATCTGCAACGTTGTGTTCAGATTTCATAGAAAACATGTCGGATGAAGTGTTGATGTAAGAAGATGTAGTGCTTAACAGTTTAATTATCATAAAATAGTACATAGCACATTGTACCCAATGCATAGTATACAGCATAAATACACACACTTATACAAGCCTAAATACATATGTACATATATATATATACAGACACACACACACATATATATATATATGTATATATATATACATATCTATATATGCGCTACCTCCCCCCGGGTTATCCACCCGTTGGGGGGGGGAAAGGAGTGTTGGACCGAATGGTCCGTTTGACGGGCCGCGGTGCGGCATCTGGGATCTAGGAACTCGTTGAACGAATCTTATTGAGTAGGGGTACATGCAGAGAACAGAATACTTTATAAAATACCTCCTATACATACCCTGAATTCCTCAATGCCTTGTGGAATAACTGAAGGAATACCTTCTAGACTACCTGAAATAGAATACTTGAAACTGGTCCACCGTTTTACGTGCATGCCATCTTTGGAACACCTTGTTGAATGCCTTATAGACGACCGCCTGCATATGATAACCCTTGTATGCCTTACATATGCCGTATAGAATATCTACAGAATACCTATAGAATACCTTGTAGGCTTCCTTCTAGAATACCAAAAAGAATACCCTCAAGAGTTTTTTTTTATAGGGATTCTAAATATGGCAGACCAGTCGGAGCTCAAGATCTGAGAAGTCCCCAGTTGAGCTGTAGCTTGTGGGTAAGGCGTTCCTATGAAGGAAATCAGGAACCAAGACGAATAGCCTTACAACTACCTTGTAGGAGGCCTTACACCATACTTATAAAATACCCTTTCTATGTATTTTAAAGAATTTCGCATAGGATACCCCTACAGAAAACCCTTTTCTAAAAATATAGGCTACAGAATATGTTTTGTACAGTGCCGTATGGAGTATCCTACAGAATACTTTATAGAATGCCCGATAGAAATACCCTGTAGTGGAATACCTTACAGAAGACCGCCTGTGTAATATACCCTGTGTGTACCTTAACTATACCTTACAGAAGACCGCAAGTGTAACATACCCTTTGTGTAGTGTACTTTAAACTAAATATACCTTCTAGAATATCCTCTGCAATACCTCTTAGGATACCCTCTAGCATACTTTAGAGGATATCCTATAGCATACCCTGTAGAAAACGATTGAAACAAGGACGATATCCAGGAGGAGCCCAAGATCTGAGAATTCACCAAATGAACGTTAGCTTTTGGAACAAGGGATTTCTCTGAAAGAAACCGGGAATGTAGGAGCATTGCCTATAGAACACCTAGCTGAATACCCTTTCTACCAACCTGACTTGAGTTCGTATAAAATACGGTGATACCTTAGAGAATGCCCTGTAGAGTACATACACCACCCTCATATATATATATATACATACATACATACATGCACCCTGAAGAGTACCGAACACAATACCGTATGGAGTACCCTATAGAATACCCACTAGAATGCGCTATAGAATACTTTAGACAATGCCCCCTATATATACAGCATGCTATATAGAATGCCACCTGGAATACTTCATAGAATACCTTCTAGAATACCCCATGTATGTGATACCCCAGAAATAGCTTATTTATATACATATGTATATATATATATACCCTATATCAAATTTGGTGCTATCGAACCGCTTTTCTGTGATTTCATTTTCGGAAAACCCAGCGGTTCGATAGCACCAAGTTTTCTGAGAGGACACCCTTCGGAAAAGTTGATGGCTATCGAACCGCCCCTGCTTGTTGTCCTTTTTGCATGGATACCACAGCAGTTCGACAGCACCTTTTCTTGAAGCAAACCCTTCGAAAATCTGGTGCTGTCTTACGATTTGGAAGACGCGGCAGTTCCGATAGCAGCACATGTTCTGAAACGACACCTTTCGGAAAATTTGGCACTATCGAATCGCCCTTGCTTGTAGTCCGAACTTGTAACGGATGACACAGCGGTTCGCTAGTACAAGTTTTTTGAAGGAAACGGGTGAGGCGACAGCACATACAGCTCCCGCATTTGACATTCATTGGACAAGTAGCTTCAAATGCATACCAAACCTCTTGAAATCAATAGGGCCTATTGAACTCAAAAGGATTCACGGATTGTGCCAAGATGATTCCAAAGGCCATCGAGTATTATACTGCACACGTACTTGAGTTCAGAGTAGACACATACACACATACAGTGTATTCTTGAAAGTAATGGGGAGAGGGTCATGGGCATGATCGACGGGATTTACAGCAAAACTGGTGGATAAACATATATGCAGATACAAACACATAATCTGTTTCGACAACGTGATCTCAGGTGCAGCGGAGCGGCTTGCAGATCTCGAGGCGTTGCTGGCTTCGCAGGTGGGCGGGCAGTAAGGCGTTGGGCTTTGAGTGACTGGAAAGGGTTCATGTTTTCTATTTTTATGAGGGTTTTGTAGGGTTGTTCGAAGGTGTTGTAGGGTTCTAGGACCTGGTGATGGTACTGGGTTTCGGGTTTCAGGACGTGGTGATGGCATTCGGTTTTCACAGGGTAGGTTTAGAGCAGAAGAAACAGATCCTCTTTTTCTGGATGATGTGGTTTTGCTGGAGGCGAAGCGGATCGCCGAGTTGGAGGCCCAGAACGCTGCTTTGCAAAGGCAGGATCGATTCCGTAGCAGAGACAGGTGGGAGCAGAGTGGAGCTTGCTGTCTTTCAAGGGTTGGTGATGCAAAAGACGACAGCACATGGCACACAGTCTACAAGGGCAAAGCGGGAAAGATAGGAAAGGCTTGGCGAATGTCCCGAAACCCGAACCCCGAAGAAGAGTAGGCGTATTGAGCACGAAAGGCAGCTTCGAACTTCGAGGCCTTCCACTTCCGGACCATCTGGGACCCTTGCCAGTTGAATTCGTCCCGGAAGCCCGAAGCCCGAAGCTCCTATGACTTTTGACCTGGGAAGCTCTTGGCTTTTCAGCAGCAGATGGATTGCGATCGTTTTGCAGAAGTGCACAACACGTGCTATCTGGAACATCTGGCAGGCTAGCCGAGACAAAGCATATCAGCAGCCACGGAAACCTTGCAAGGAACTGGTCGGCGGTCGACGCCGCGACGTTGAAGAAAGGCAATGTGGTGACTTACTCTCTGGACAGAGCGGGGGACAAACGCAGCTAGTGAAAATGGGAGTTTCGGAAAATCAGGAACCCGAAGGACGCCGAAGGAGAAGGGCACAAGGTAGCAGGATCTCATGACAAAGACACCTACGTGAGGTACTCCTCCTTTATGGTTATAGAACTAGACATAGAAGACGGAAGGTACTAACTGTGCTGACTCGGAACAGGCGTCCCGAAGTTCTAAGACCTTTTAATTTTCGGGTTTAGGGCTTCTCGGACTTCGTTTTAGGGGATCTGCTTTTGGGGGGGCACCTGTGCCCAAAAGAGGACCTCATTGATGCCTGGGGCGGAGGTGTGCAGCGAACAGCTCCGAAGGTGTCACGGCTGCAGCCAGGGCCTAGGGGCCTCCCTGAGCTGAGGCTATCTTTGAGGGGCCGAAAAAACAGGTCTCTCTTCGGCCCAAGAAAAGCCGGAAAGCGTTATTTTTTCCGGGTTGTAGGGCATATACGTATGTGTTTGAGGGTTCCAGATGCCTGCGATATGCTTCAGGTTTAGGCTTTGGGGTGGTGTCGGGATCTCCTGCAGCTCTCGAAGACTCGAAGACCATGAAGTCGGCCTTGCTTGTGAGACATGTGCAACTTAAACGAAATGCGTGCCACCGGTTAATGAACCCCGCTTTTGAAGGGTTTTCCAGTATTGCAACAGGATCAAATGAGAACCACATCTAATAAAGATATGTTCGCAACGAGCGAGGAAAAAAGGCAAGCAGCAACATTTGCAGAATCATTTGGGTTGTCGAGCTGTCGCGTTGCATGAGATTCTGGAGGTCGGGATAAGGGCCGTGGGCCGTCTGAGGGCGTCTTGGGCCTCCTCGGATTCGTCAAGGAAGGTGTCTGCTGTAGGAGGCTTTTGGACAGACGAATTAAGCTGCCGGTCCGGATGGGCAGCGGGGCTTCCGGAAGGTTCCCTGATTTCTCGAGGTGTCCGTGGTCACGAAGGTGGTCCATCGGCAGGGCATTACCAGCTACGCGCTGCGCCGCTCGTCCGCAGGTGTTTGGGTGGCTTTCTGGGCCCCGCCGTAGATCGCAGCTTCTCCTTTAGCCCTCAGGCTGCGAAAGTGGAGGTGTCGATTTCGTCGAGGCCTCCAGGCTGAGAGACGTGCAGCTGGCACTCTGAGTCCCATTGCGGGGCAGGCGGCGATCGGAGCCAGGGACTTGGCTGTGCACGGACGTAGCCAGAATTGACCTCTAGGCAGGCTTTCAGTCCGAGTGCAGCTTTGGCATGCAAAAAAAGAGTGGAGAAAAGGCGAGGCAAGCGCTGCCGGCTGCTGTCACAAAATATTGCACAACTGAAGCTTCTCGGTGCCGCCTCTATTACGGTCTATACGGCTAGAGTCTAAAGGCAACAGCAGGTGGAGGTGTGACGTACACGCAAGAAGTTCTGCAGCCGTAGACCCACAGCATACGCGACGTCGAGAACCGCACCAGGACCACATCCCGAGACCTCGAGGACCAATCCACAGACCACGCCAAGACGAACTCAAATTTAAATGCGAGCCGCGCTGCCGGGGAGAGCGTGGTTCGCACCGCATGAACCTAGATGGCTTCATTGTATTTTCTACTTTAGCATCGGAGGGTTCTCGTACACAAATTCCTCTGGTGACTGGAGGGGCAGTTCAAGCGCCATGAAGGGACTTCCTTGTACCATCGAATTTGTCCCTACAGTAGTAGGTATTTAGGGTCTAAGGGAGGGTGAAAGGAGGGAAGCCTTGCGATTCCGCGCAGGAGAAACAGGTGCAGGAGGCGATTGCCGAGGCGCTCGCCTCAGCCCACGTCCTTTCAAGGAAGCAGGCGGGGAGCGGCCCACATGCATAGGTGCTGAGACAGTCTGGCACCGTCGACGTCCTGGTGCAAGCAGTGGTGGGCCCAGTGGGCCAAGGAGAGCAAAAGATGAGGTCGCCTAGAAGGCATGGGTATGTGATTGACTTTGCTGGTTCCCAGATGATTTTCGAGCGGCATGGGCTCCAGTTTCACCCAGGCCGGCATCACCGGAAAGACGAATGTCAAAAGCCACGAGGCCAGCTGCCGACCCGAGCATGCAGCTGCTGGCCCACGAGAATGTCCAAACGATAACACCAAGCTGTAGCCGTACTTCCCGGCCGCGTTTCCCGTTGTTCTATGTGACCTCCTTACACTTTCGAGAACGCCACCTGCATAATTACAGGATATCCGGGATGAAGGTGTGGCCAGACTCGTCAACCGTGTAGCTGGCCATGTTCTTGCCAGCTTGCCTAGCACCTGGATGTGGCAACATGTCACTGACTTCCGCGACGATGGCACTCAAGGGTCCCGGCAGACCCAGGAAAAGTAGCTCGACACTCTACAAAGCAACTATCTCAGGCTCTTTCAGGTACCTGTTCCGAGCCGGTAGGCGGTGCTGGCAAACCTTCACGTGGAACCACCGCATTACTGCCGCCCAGCACTGGTCGCAGACACGCTGCAAGGCACCCGATTTTCGATGTAGTGCACTCATCCAAGCCGGGAGAAGCAGGAGAGTACCCTAAACCCTAAACCCTAATAAATCCTAAACCAATACTGGGTAGGTTCAAGGCGCAAGGCACCCTCACGTGCCAGAGACTGGCCCCTTTAGCCGCTCCATGGTCGGCCATGGTCCTCGTCGAATGCCAAGAATGTGGCACGACGTGGCCGCAGGAGCCTAGACAGTGGTAATTACCTCCGAAGATAAGGGGTACCTTAAGTTGGGGTCCTTGTAATAAGGACCCTACTACTATACTGGGTTCCCCCTATTTTCGGAAAGTATAATTACCCATAGGCTCCTAAGTAGTTCCTTTTTATGGGTTCATATTTAGAATCCTACAAGGTATTCCCAAAAAGGAACTACTAAGGAGCCTATAGGTAGACCACAGAAGGCGGAGGCATGTTGAGAGGCAGAGGCGCTCGCTTCCCTGAGCGACATCCCAGGAGGAGGGCACCAACTGCCCGAACTGTGGCACCCTGGCCACGCAGATCCGAGACGAGGCTTCCGCGGAAAGCAAGGGGTCGGGGGTTTCTTCTCACTGCAGAAGTTCTAAGAATGCAGCGACGGCATTCCCTATGGCCCCATGATACAGTAGCTCCTATAGTATACATGATTGCAATAAGGACAACGCTTGAGTGCTTGAGGATCTGTGCAAGCCAGGGTACGAGGATCAAGTCTCTTCGCCCGCAGCAATAGACGTTCAGGCTGAGCCTCATCCAGCCCAGGCCTGACTTCTAAGATGCGAAAAGCTCGAGCCAGTAAGCCCACAGGCATCGGATGAGGAGGATTACGCGGGCAAGACAGAAGGTGCCATGAAGTTCGAGAGGCTTGAGATCCGGGCGTCCGTTGGAACCTTTTTTGTCATAAGGGTCATGGCCCCTGGTGGGACCTGCGATTGGAGAGTAGCATTCCCGACGCTGCTTTGTGTCCCCCCGCGAGCCGTCTCCCGTGTCCTGGGTTCTTATTAAGTGTTTGCTCCGGTTCGCTGTCCCGGTGTGGTTACGTTGCTGGCTGTTCTCACTCCTGCATCCTGGTCTCTGCCTCCTTGAGGTTCAACTCTCCGGGGTGGGTCCAGGGAGGGACACATACGTCTCTTCTTTGCTGGGGCCTGGTTCAAAGCTCTGCTTCCTCTGCTGTGTCGGCCTGGTGCTCTGCCAGGGTCCAAGATTTCCTAATATACGAAGTCTCGAGACCGTGACTTGTTGTCGATGCTCTCGGCAAAGTGGCAGCGAGAGTTACCGCCCGGCCCCCATGTGCAGGCGATTCACAGAAGGCAACATGCGAAAGAAGGCGGAGGACCAGGAGAAGATCGACAGGCTGAGGGTTGTGACGAGTCACACGGTCCTCCTAACTACGAGGGTCTTCCATCATCTGATGACATCCAAGTCAGGCCTTGAAAAGCTGGCAAGTCGCATGCCTGTGCCCAGGCAGCGAGCAGCTGTGGCACAGGCGGCTCTGGAAGGGGTTTTGGGGATTTTGGGGATCTAAAAAGGGACCCTAATTTAGAGAACTACACACACACAAACACACACACATATACATATATATATATATATGCATACATATACTTATGTGTGTGGGCTTGAAGGAGGTGACGCTGTTTCAGGTTCCTGAAGTGTTGTTACACTGCGACACTTTGAGCCCTTCAAGCAAGATCGGAACAACTTGTAACAATAGTTAATGCTAACAATAATTGTAATAACAACAATTCTAGTAATCATAATAATAAGAAGAAGAATAATAATAAGA